CCGATGTAGACTTTGCCGCACTCACAGGGAATCCTGTAGACAACACCATCTTGTTTAGCCGGGTTGACAGTGTCCTTTGGTCGCACTAAATGTGACCGAAGTGTCGTGTCGGACTTAAAGACGGTGCGAATGCTATGTTGTTCTAAGCAGCGGCGGAGAGACTCCGAAGCTCCTTGGACATAAGGTAAAACGGCGGTGGATTTAAATTCCGCGACGGGCTCTCTTCTTTGGGTTGCTCGTGCCTTTGTGATCTCCTGTACAAAAGAGGAGGGATATCCGTTAGAAACAAGTACAGGTGACAGATGACAGAAATGTTGTTGGCGTCAACAGAAAGTAGATCTTATCACCTGTAAGTACTGATAAGGTGAGTTCAGCCGTATGTATCAGCCGAAACTGATATTAAATACAATGACAGCATTAAAAAAACCTGGGTGGTCTATAAGGCAGACTTAACTATTAGAAGCAATAATAGGATTCATTTATAATATTCTACATTCATGGAAATGCTGTTTGTTCGGGCCCGAAAGGCGACGGGATGAGTCCCTTGTCAGCAAAATACACATAAGGCCTGGTAACGAAATAGTGATTGGGTGAGGCGCGAAATCTCACGTGAGATTTCGAGACAATTTCAAGTTTTTCAGTCGCTGAGAAGTTTTCTTGAAATTCCCATTGAACAGGCACTTGCGAAGCCAAATTCTTCATTCTCATTCTAGTGGAAAGATATTGTGGTGGTTTTGATCCATTCATCGTTATCATAATTATAGCCCTCAACTATTGCTCCTTCAGAGTCGCCGCCATAGCAACCAGCCAATAAGTATGGGTTGCTATCGCAACACACTATACTACGGCACGGGTTCCCTTTGGTGACTAGGCCCCCGATAAACTGCCACTCATTCGATCGCTCGTTGTACACTTCACAAGTGTCAGCAGGCGCCCCTTTGTCTCCACCCGAGCAATGAAAATTTTTCGATGTGCTGCAGCACCACAAGGCAGCATTCTCTCCTCTCGCATGTCAGCTACTTTCTCCCAAGTGTTTTGGTAAAGGTCATTTTTTGTACCTGTCAACATCACTCAGGTACTTGGTCATTCCTCCAAGTACTCCACCGCCAATGAAGTAAATAAAATTATCACTGGCTACAAGGCAAACTCTCTCCCTTAAATCCAAGACAAACGATGCTATGTCTTTTCACGTTTGGCTCCGGTTCGCACCTCAGTGAAAATCACAGAAATGTCGAAATCGGTTTTGGGGCAAGTCTGACATAATGCACGTTGAAGTTTTCCTCTGCAATCAGAGCATGAATAGGGAGTTTAAGTAACCACGACGGCGACGTCGAGGACAACGTCGATTAAAAAACGAATTTAAATTTTACCTACGACTCTCGCAGTACCCTAAAGTCATTTACTTTCTTTATCACCGTCAAAACCATTACGAAACTGAATACGACAGAGCGACAAATTAGAAATAGAAATTTAAAAAATTAGCCGTCGTGGTTCACGTTCTCCAGACAAGGCAGAATTTGGTCATTTTATGTTGTTGTTGCAGAGGACGGCAGAGAAATGTACCAAGAATTATAACGCACGTGCACAGCCATTGTTCTCCTCGTTTATAATAAAGCTTTTATTTAGCGACGTTCCCGTTGCCGTTGCCGTTGTCGTCGTGGTTTTCTTTCCTCCTAATACTGTCTCGGGCCCCGTGAAGACCATAAAAAGAGAGATACGGACAGAAACCACTGAATTAGTCTTCTGTTGCACTCAGGGCATCTGTATTTCATTTTACGTACTAAACAATAAATTTCACAACCATTTCTGACAACTATCTTCTTCAAAGCTTCTTCTCGGTAATGGCGTCCAAATCTTAGAAAACAAATCGTAGCGTCGCACTCGCCATATTTAGACCTCTGAATTTGACGGGGAAAAAGACTGCAGTTGGTTATGGCAAACGGAGGCTATCTGATTCCGCTGATGTGAACCTGAAGTGTCGCCTACTACGCACCATCTGTCTTCACGAGGGAAATAACAAAGAACACGTTCCTCAATGCACACCACAATGGCTGGGGCCTTCCTTGGTGGGGTAGATAAATCATTGAAGTTGTTACAGTCAATTACTTTCAGAGCGCCGTTTTGCGACGCCAAGATGGCCGCCAGATTCGTGTTCAAGATTATCAAGTACTTACTCAACAAATACGCCTTCGCACCAACTGAGCGCTTCAAATCTGTGAGGCGACATCTTTAATTTTGTCCCCAGAGGTTATTAAGTCGTAAATTAAAGTAAAGTTAATTTACGTTGCCTATCAAGAAAAGTTGGCCTTCTGTTCCTCAACAGCTATATTCTTAATAATTTCTTCCACCGTTGGACTAAATTTCTGTGAACTTTTTCTTTACTTTTTCTTAAACAAACAATGAAAACATTTTAAAAGTGACGGAAAGATTACGAATGTCAGGAAGTTCTTATTCTGAATCTCCTGCGCGGCCATTTGACCTCAGTATGACGTCACGGGTATCTCTATATGCATTAAGTGGTACGAGCAAGATTTTCTTACAACTTGGCGGCCAATAAATTTGCATTAGTACTTTCAATTGTACGAAAAAAAAAACGTTCGCTTTTGTGCGAATTACTTTGCCTTGCAATGTGGCACAAAGTTGAATTCATTTTTCCACACGTAAGGGCTTTTCAGTGCAATTTATATGCATCATTGTTGAACGAAAAGTTGGAAGAAAATGTAGCTGGTTAGGTATTCCTTGCCCTTCGCCTGTGAGCAGTAGCGTAAGCCACTGACTGATGCATTAGTATAGATAATCATACGGTTTCGAGTTCAGTTTGGAATTAATTTGCACGAGTGAGTTTTTCAAGAGGCTGAAATTGCACGAGCCACTTCGGCGATGGAGGAAGTGCCGGGAGATCTTTCTTGAAGCCATTTTTTTCTCATTCGAGAAAACTTTTTTCAAAGTTTCCGCACAAAATTTTCGTCATCATTTTACGTGATATCGTTGCTTAGAAAATTTCCTATTGTCTTTCAGCCAATCATAATCCAGATTTACGATGTGTAATTTGCACTGGTGTGACATTTTTTAAACTGGTGTTACAGTTTTTGCAGTGGTGCTACACTTGAACTGTACTGCTCTCAGTCAATCACAATCGAGTAATTTTTTCAAGCATATTATTAGTGTAGGAAATCGAGTGAATGCGAGTCCAATAAAGGATTTACATTACGAAAGATATTTGAAAATTCTCTAAAAAATACACGAGCCTTTAGGCCAGTGCAATTTGAAAGAATTTTAAAATATCACGAGTAGTGTAAACCCTTAATTGCTCGGGCTTTCATACGATTTCTCATTTATCATATTACTTAGAAAATTATCAAGGAGCGCCCGTTAATTTGCACTGAATTAGCAATAAATTGGCCTCCTCTCCGGAGAGAGCCAATCACAATGAAGTAATCTTCTCAGCCATATAACAAATTCTACAATATTGTCTATTTAAAACTGTTGTTAATATGTTGATGGTTTATTTGATAGCTTTTGGCTATACTACATGAAAAACCACGCAACGTTAGAACGCCAAAAAATCCGCGGTAAGTTTAAAGTCCAAATTGACAGACTTTCTCAAACCATTTTTTTCTTTTTAAACATTATTTCAACAAATAATGTTCTATTAAGACCACATCAGTATTTCAAATAATTTAGCCTCAATGTTTTCAAAGGTAAAGGATATCTTTCACGCAAATGGGCAATCTAAAATATAAAACCAGGAACTGAAGGTTGCTTATGTATTTGGTGTCTTAAATTTTTTTATTGGACTGGAATGTTAAAGAAATCTGACTGCTGCATTTCTCAATGTTAAACGTTCCATCAGAGTTGAAACTCTGTTGTTTTAATAGTTTAACACTCTCAGTGAATAAAATCACGGAGAAAGATATAAAATTTCAAGGTGTAACGAATTTACAAGGAAAGAATTACACGAGAAGCAAGGTCAGTTATCACTGATAAAGGACATGATTCCTGAAAATCTACTCCATATATGTGTCACATCATGACGCATTTCGTTTTATCACCTCGCAGACCGGAGCGTGAAAGCAAAGTCATTGGAAGTTTGTTAAGGGATCGTGTGAAAATTGTCATTGAACAAGCCTGAAGGTAATACTGTCCGATCGCCGCCACTGGAAAACGGAAAGGCAATTTAGTCTTCACCTTCCATTCATCGTTATCGGGATCATAGCATTCAACAGCATGATGCGAGTCGTTGTCATAGCAACCACCCAGTACATACACCTTGCCGTCACAGCATACCATACTGCTTAAAAAACTCGGGTTCGCGTTCAAGTTGGCAATAAAGTGCCACTCATCTGTGGTTTCGTTGTACACTTCACAAGTGTTTGATGTCATTCCTTCTCGATCTAGTCCACCAGCAATAAACAGTCTATCTTTCGTTGCCGCTCCACAAGCAAACATTCTTCCTTCTTGAACGTCAGCGACCTTGTCCCACTGGTTTTGATTCACGTCATACCTGTGAACATCCGGGAGATTTTTGTAGCGGTGCTGCTCCCGGACGCCACCACCAATGAAATAGATAAAATTGTCTTTGACTACGACACAAATTCCTTCCTTTGAACCCAAATCAAACGATGATATTTCCTGCCATTCGTTTGATTCGGGGTTGTACTTTCTTAGGAAGGAAACATATTTTTTCCTTGCATAACACAAGCAGCTTAAATTTTCACATCTAAGACATCCATCGGAAACCAATGTGTAGACTTCGTCTTCGTTTCTAACGAATATTTGCCTGACATATCTGGTTTCCTCCAATTGCTGCCTCATCCAACTGTCAGACAAGGGATCATAGCATAGCAGTTCCGAATGTATAAAGCCTGAAAGTTTTACAAAATACAGCTTACCATGACGAGAGAACACTTCGAAATCCTTCGAATTTGAAATTGAATTCTCTCCTAACAGATACCACTGATCCTCGCGTGGAGAATAGCACAGAATATATTTTCCCAGAAATGCAACTATAAAAGAGGTCTGTTGCGACTTTCTCGGATTTCTGTGGTTTTTCGAGTTTTTTGTCTCTACGGCATCCATAACAAGGCTCAGACACGCTTTTTTAGATTTCACAAGATCATTTGAAAGGATCTCGCTGCATAGAAAGTCACGTGATACATATGCAAGTCGAACTTGACGAAATAGGTTGGCGAAATACTTTTTTCGCTCGTCTTTGTCATGTTCAATCCATGTTAGAACGATTTTAAACACATCTTCCTCGTCACCAATGACCACTTCATCACTTGAGATCCACCCTTCGACCTCTTCGCTCGACATGCTCAGAAACTCGTCTGTTTTCGCTACAGCTGTGAAGTTTGCAAGGATGAAGTTCTTGATCTTGGAAACAAGTTCGTTGCATTGATATTTTTCTGCAAAGTAGCAGGTTGAAATACAATTTGAAGCTTTCAGTTTCCGAATTACAATCTCCTCAGCTAGAGGTTTCAGATTTGGAAGAAACAAATAGTCGGCCATAACGATCAGACCTTCGGCGATCTCTTGAGTCGATATTCGCACACCACCAGTGTAAATGAATTCCAGTGTAGCCGCCATAACAGAGTCGTTGAACATCTCCAGCTGAACTATTCCCTCTTTAGCCTCCTTCATGTCGCTGTTCAGCAGCTTTTCAAAGAAAGGACTCGCTGCTGAAAGAACGTCTTTATGCGCTCTGAATTGCTTGCCATGTTCCACCACCAAAGTTAAGTCATATGGATGTTCGCATGTCTCCCGTGGAAAAACTGAACTGAAACTTTCTTTATGTGGAGTGAAACTCTCAGAATTATCGATGATGGGCAAAAAGGCTTCCATAAGTAAACGATGTAGATGCTTGTGATGACTAACGACAATAATATGGTAATTTTTTAATAATCACTCAGTGGCAGCCTAGTGACGTCATGGAACTTAAAAGGCTTTTTAACGTAGGGTTATTTTCGGGAGAAGGGGGATATCATTGGAAGCTGGGACATTTCCGTTTCCGGATCAAAAATTCGTAGGTTTATATTTGGAAGTCTACAAATTGTAAAACGTGCAGCTTACCATAACAAGAGAACATTGCGAAATCCTTAAAGTTTGAAATTGATTCTCTACTAACAGACACTATCAGACTACAGTCCTGACGCAGTTCTCCGAACATACTGTGACTACGGACTCAACACAACTGAACAGGCTGCACGTAATGATGGATTTTATAATCAAAAGAAGTTAGATAGTTCTTCTAAGAGTTATTTCCAGGTAAAAGCCCAACATGTTCAGTACATTTAGAAGCGCTTTGGGGGCATATTTTCGGGAGGGTTTATTTCCGCAATTTGTTGTGATCGCACACACAGACAGCTCTTCAGCCCTAAAATGCCTCCACGTAGGACGCGGCTCAATACTGGAGTGAAAGCAGCTTGTGGAATCAACGCCACCTAATTTTCGCAACATGACGGCTGCAAATTAATTTTAAAAGTATTTGTGTCACTCTAGAAACTGTTGATTTTAAACTAATGATATCGATTTAGGAAACCATGCTGTCGTGAGTTTCTCAGCCGCTGTAAAGAAATTGTCAAGTCACTTTTACGTATTACGCAATGGTGACTTACGTAAGCACGAACGTAAAAATTACGTGTTAGTGGAAATCGACTCAATAAATTTATTGCTCGCAGGAATGGAAATTATTCAAAGCACGTTTTGTTGACGCACTTTCTACGCAGGCAATAATTTTTTTTTTTTTGTGGCACTCACAGATCAGCTTTTTTCTTTCAAATTTCCACATGTCGCTCCGAAAAATACGTAAAGATGGCCGGCACATTTACATTGTTGATGTGAAATCGTTCGTCGGGTGTCAATGCCTACCACTGGGCCGATTTTGGTCACTCCAGTGACCATAGATTGAAAACGTGACAGAAAATTGGCGTTACTTTCGATTCTCACCAAATTTGGACAGTGGGATGAT